GGCCAGTTGTGAAGTAGTGGGAGCCCCAGAAGCTGTGTGAAGCTGAGTCTCTGGTTTGCTCTGTAACTCGACATTTGATTCCTCCCTGGGTGTCTGCCATTCCTGGGATCCCAAGGAAATCAAACGCTGCAGCCTTGGGTGGGGTGCTCTCCAGAATGGGCCAGGCATGGTCTAGTGTATCTATATCTCCGCCTCTCAGCCCTCTTCTGATGTTAGAAATCAGTGTGGATGGCCTTAGGGTGTTGATTCTCAAAGTGTGGTCCCAGGTAGCATTAGCATCACCTGAGAACTTGTCAGAAATGCAATTTTCCGTCCCTACCTTGGATCTACTGAATCAGAAACTGCATTTTAAGAAGGCCCCCAGCAGAATTTTGCTTTTTCAAATCAGGTCTCTCTCTCTCTGTCTCAAGACTCAATATTGAACAGTTGTGACTTCTGGACAGTCATATATGGGACACACTTCCTCTCTAGGAAGCACCTGGCTCCTCAGTCAGCTTAGTCTGAGTCCTGGCCTGGCCTAAGGGAGAAAAATTCATGTCCTGGGTTCCAAGCAATGCTCTCCTGTCCTGGATGCCTGTCAAGCTCCTATTTATACCTCAAAACACAGCTCAAATGTTGTGTCTTATGAAGCTTCTGTGATGCCTTGGTCAGAGCAGATGGTCTACATGTGCATCCACAAAGCAAGTTGCATGTTCTGCCAACCATTTGTGTAAGAATTTCCTTACTGATCTCTGCCAGTACAAGACTGGCTCAACCTCAAAGGCAAGGGGAGTTTGGTTTGTCTTACCTCAGACCCAGCTCCTTTAACAAAATGCCTAGCACATGGTAGGTGTCTGATAACTGTTTACCAAATGAAGGGATTGCCTGCAATGACCTGGCAGACAAGGAGGAATAAAAACCCACAAGCTGGGCCAGCGTAATCCCAGCACTTTGGGAGGGTGAGGCGGGCAGATCATGAGATCAGGAGTTTGAGACCACCCTGGCCAACATAGTGAAACCCCGTCTCTACTAAAAATACAAAAAATTAGCTGGGCATGGTGGCATGCACCTGTAGTCTCAGCAACTCGTGAGGCTGAGGCAGGAGAATCGCTTGAACCCGGGAGGCGGAGGTCGCAGTGAACCGAGATCATGCCACTGCACTCCAGCCTGGTGACAGTGAGACTCCGTGTCCAAAAAATAAAAAATAAAAAAAATCCACAAGCCAAAAGTGACTGGGAGAAGATTTTCCAAATCCCAGTGCTGTGTGAGCACAAAGCCCACTGAAATCCACTTTTAGAAGCTTCCCAGCTGTCTTGTTCTCTTCTCATCAGAAACATCTATGCTCCCTCACCAAGGCCCACCTAATCACACATTACCTTTCAGGACCACCTTTCAGATTAGCCAGGTGGAAACCCCACACCAACTTCCTGCCTTGGTTCCAAATACTCAGCTGCAGGCCTGGTGTGGGGCTTCATGCTAATCCTAACACTTTGGGAGGCTGGGGTATCAGATCGCTTGAGGCCATGCGTTAGAGACCAGTGTGGGCAACATGGCACAACCCCATCTCTACAAAAAACACAAAACATTAGCTGGATCTTGTGGCGCGTGCCTGTAGTGTCAGCTATTCAGGGGTCTGAGGTGGAAGGATCGCTGCAGCCAGGGAGTTCAAGGATTTACAGGAAGGAAGAGTTTTTCTTCTTTCTGAAGTCTCCCTCAGCTAGAGATTTTGCCCTGTGAAGTTGACAGGAGAAGTTGCTTGAAGTTAAGTTAGGACTGGGCACAGTGGCGCATGCGTGTCATCCTAGAACACTGGAGAGGCCAAGACAAGAGGATCACTTGAACCCAGGAGTTCAAGATCAGCCTGGGAAACATTGTGAGACGTCTTCTATACAAAATAAGTTTTAAAAATAGATGGGTGGTGCTTTCCAGTAGTCCTTACTACTCAGGAGGCTGAGGCAGCAGAACCACTTGAGCCCAGGAGATTGAGGTGCAGTGAACTATGATCGATCACTGCACTCCAACCTAGGTGACAGAGCAAGTCCCTATCTTTAAAAAGAAAAGAAAGTGACCTGAGTTGGGACAGGACATTTGGACTTTTTCATTAAAATTGTATTTCAAATGTTGTCAAACTTCATAATCAGTATTTTATCCTTTTAGAAAGTAGAATCTGCTCAATTACAGAAAATGTAAAAAATGTAGTGAAGCAGAAAGATGGAAACTACCTGTGTCCCCAGTGGGAGGACCAGGATGAATCTTTGCCTGGCAGAGCCTCAGAGACGTCAGTGGTCAGGTGCCCTGGAGCTGTGCTTTGCAGCTGCCCCCTGAGTTTCCACCCGTGGTTTCTGTGCATGTGGTGTCTGTGCAGGACGACTTAGTGTAGTCACACTGTATGAGTTATTTTGAATCTAGATTTTCAAACTTTATTATTATCAATAAGCAAGTTTATATGTTTATATATCACATATAAGTTTATATATCACAATCTCTTCTTAAACACTACTTTGGCCAGCTGTATACTATTTACAAAAAAATCCTAGCTACTCTTCTTTTGCATGTTTTTCTTCCTTATTGTAAATAATATCTGATTAATATCCTTATACTTAAAGATTCTTCTATATTTTGGATTTTGTTTTGGAATCATAGATTTCTCAAATATAAATTATCTGGTCAAAGGGTATGAATATTTTAATGCTCCTTATACATGTTATGAAATTGCTTCTCAAAAGCAGCATCCCAATTGAATTCACCCATCATTCACCACTCATTTGTCAAGCCCCTCCTCTGTACTGGGATGTTCTAGATGCTGGGGATGCAAGTGGTGACTGCACAAAATCCTGGCCTCAACGAATATGTCTCAGTGATACAGACAACAACTTTAAAAATTATTCTAATATCAGTGGCAATTGTTATGGAGAAAATATACCTGGGTTAGAAGACTGACATTGGTGAGGATGGCAGGAGATATATTTTGTTGGATATAAAAATATTTTGTTGGTTCCTGAGAACTTGACCAGGGGACATTTGAGCAGAGACCTGAATGGTGTGAGGAATGAGCTATGTACATCACCGGGGAGCAGATGCATGTGGGAGTCACAGCAGGGGCCCATGGCAGAGACAGGATGGAGCAGTGACAAGAGGTTTGTGTGAATGGAGACAAGTGAGCTGGGCTGACAGTTGTGAGATGAGGCCAGAATGGCCAGAGGGTCCCTGTGATGAGGGTCTGTTAGGAAATGGTGAGAGGAAGGGAAGAGCCTGGAGTGTCTGTGGGACGTGGTAGTGAGGATGTGCTCTAATTCCCATTTGAAAGGTTCACTCTGCCTGTTGTGTGGGTGATGGACAGCTGCGTGAGAGGCAGCAGGCAGCCCAGCTGGAAGGCCCTTCTGATTTACTATCCTAGAGAGGATGGCTCTGGAGGGGAGGCAGTAGAAGAGTGAGAAGTGACTGGATTTGGGGTTAATACATTTTTCAGATGGTCTTAGCAGTTGTTTAATAGAGAACCACACATTTATTTACTGAACTTCATTCCACAGTTGATTCCAGATGGCTTACTGCAACAACTCTAAATAATAAATGTACATGAATTATTTAAAAACCAACAGCTAGGAAAATGTAGACTTAAAATATTAAGGCTGGGGTAAGGCTAGAACGTTACTAGGCAAGAAGGAACATCTGAAACATTTGCTGAAATGGAGTTGACTGTTTACCTAGCCATGGATTTGTTGGCTCACAATTTTATTGCATCAGGGAGCCACAGAGGGGGGTGACAGTGCAGGTCACCTGGCCCTTGCTTCCTGTTTCAGGAACATTTCCTGTTTTACACTTAAAGTCAAAGCAAATTACGTAACTGTAATTTGTTCAAAAATGAAGTCAACATCTAAAAAGTCAGAAAGTAAATGTACAAACCCCAGGGGTCTAAGGAGAGTCTACATTTCTCACCGAAAATGGCCTCACCCGGCACTATCGAATGGAGAGGGTCCTTTTCAGGGGCCCTAAGATGCAGGGGCGACTGGGCTGCAGCCCTAACTAGAGGTGTCCTTCTTTATACCTGCAGTTTCCTTACGCCTGGCAGCCAACTTCAGTGATCTCACCTGAGCTAGGAATTCGTTTTTTTGATGGTGGTTCTATTTGAGCCATTGTGTAGATTTAAAAATGTGACATGGAAATTTTGCTATAATAGTTTTTCTTTGATGGAATTTGACATGCACGGTGGCTGTGGTTTCCCTTTCAGTCCCAGGAGGGAATGGAGTGCCCTGCACTTTTTTTCAAGATCCTTGTGTGTAGAAGGAATCAGGAGACTTGGAGTCAGGGGCCCCTCCAATCTCACCCTCCTCTCTAATGCTTTTTGGGGTGGGGACCCTGGCACTCGGCACATCTGGTTAATATAATTGTCCCAGCTCCTGAAATAAAAGCACAGGTGCACATAACACTGACTCCTGCCTGCAGTGCCAAGGTGGGGAGGTTTCCTGGATGCCAGGTTTAGCACTTTGACTCTCATTCACACACACACACACACACACACACACACACACACACACTCTCTCTCTCTCTCTCTGTATCTCACATAAACACAGACTCACACACACACTAACTCATACACACAGGAACACACACTTGCACACACACTCACACACATATTTAGACACACTCTCACACACAGATTCACACACACACATGCGCACACACACAGGCACACACTCATTCACACACACACAGCCTGAGCGAAACCTGGGACAGGCTGACGTCAGGGGCGGAGTAACAGGCGTGTCTCAGGTCCCTCTCAGTGGACTTTGTCTCTTTTTCCTGGAGGTGGAGGAGTCTGTACTCCATGAGGGGACGTCCTCTGAAGAAGCGGGAGATACTCAAGAGCGGGGTCCAGAGACGGACAAGGATGGGAAAGTGGAGACAAAGCGGAGGGGTCGAGGCAGGGAGGGAGCACGTGAGGAGTGGGGAGGGGGAGGACCTTCTAGCGGTCAGAAATGTCACACGCAGAATTCGGTTCTTGGTTTTTCTGTTTTACTAGGATGGATTTAGAAAACCAGCCGGAGTGTGAAATAAGGAGTCTACTTTGCAAAGGACAAATCTTGGTCTCCTCCTTGGTTTGAACTCATCAGTAGTAGCTGGGAGAAGAGAGCCAGGACCCTTGGGTGGGGCGTGCAACGCCCCTTTGCAGCCACTCCATTCTCTACATCCCACGGACCTCCCCTCCCGGGACCACGTTGGTCCCCTCCAACCCAACAGGAAGAAAAGCAAGAAGCCTGAAGGCTTTAGATCCTCCCTAGCGCGCCTGCTTCCTCTGCCATTTATTCCCTGAGTGTCCTTGCCTTCGCTTCGCTAACCCAACCCCACTATGACAATGCACATCCTGCGCGCTGGGGCCTGGAATCCTCCTTTGGCCTCTGACTCACTGATGCCATTTCACCGCGTCCTGTCCTTCCGGTTATGGCCACTGGGTGGAGCCCGAGAGGGCATCACCAAGATGGGTTGGATTCTTACAGCTTAGAGGCCTGCACAAACTTTCTAAAGACTTTTCTAGATCCGGAAGTCAGCCTGAGTTTTTAGACTTGCTTCGAAAGGCTTTGGCCCTTGGAAAAAGGAAATCAGCACTCCAGGAACAAGATTTTCCTCGACTTTGTCTCAACCCAAAGACACTATAGCAGGGCAGTTTTCAAACGTGCTTTGAAAATAAATGGGACAGGGTGTCCCCACCGGATTTTGCATTTTCCTTTTTATTATAGCCCGCCCCTTTTGTAAAATTGTTACACATCTCCCTACTGCACTAAGAACAGCTCTATCAAAGGCACTTTGAGAAGGAATCAATGCCATGAAATATGAAGTCCTCTTAAAAGAGAGTTTCTGGAGTTGGATTTTAATTAACACTTTGATTTTTAAAATCCTGTAAGTATTTGGTTACCTTCATAACATTTTTCAAACAAATATTCTGTCTTAACCACTATACAAATCCAAGTTTGTTATTTTTATTTTTAAATGTTATTTATTTATTTTTGAGACAAGGTCTCTTTCTGTCATCCAGCCTGGAGTGTAGTGGTGAGATCATAGCTCACTGCAGTCTCGAACTCCTGGGCTCAAGCTATCCTTCAACTTCCAGAGCTGGGATTACAGGCCTGAGCCATCGTGCCTGACTAAAATCCAAGTTTATACTGTAATAAAAAATTCCAAACTTTCAGAGAAACTGAAAGTCACAAAGTTATCCCAGTCCCTGTCAAAATTTTGGTGAGTAATTTTAAGGTTTTCTCCTACTTAAAATATTATCTAAGTGGTATTACTGGCATTATAATTCCATATATCCTTGTCCTTTTAAAAATGGGTAAAAGTAGGTTGGGCACAGATCTTCTCATAGCAATACTTAAAAATTCATCCTCCTCTTTTTAACAACTGCATGGAATTTTATTACATGGCTGTTCTTTAGGGCACTATGGAAATGTTATTTATCTTCATTGTAGTAGCAGATACGTGGGTGTGTAAAACACCCAAAGAGTAAAACTCAATGAGCTGTACATTTCAAATAGATACATTTATAGCATGCAAAGTATGCCCCAATGACGGTTTAAAAATATTATCCTATTTGAGATTTGTACTTTGATTTTGTAAAACAAAACCAAACCCTTGTTCTTGTACCCAAGAGATGCACCCTGGCACATCTGGAGGTAGAAGCTCATGTTGTCTGTAACTTGATCTCGCAGGCTCTGAAATAAGCGTAATGAGCTGTATATTTACAGATTCCCATACAGAGAAAAAATAGCTATGGCAAAAACGCTCATAAATACCCGAACTAGATAAAGGGCAAAAATAAAAGAAATAATAAAACCACATATTTTAAATATTATTCTCGCCGTCACCTTTTCTCTCCCCTTTTCTCCTTCTCCCCTCCTTTCTTCAACACGTCCCCCCATCCTTCCCTCCTTTCTCCATTCTCTGCATTTGATCCCCAGTGTATTCCAGCCTCCAGGCAACACGCGTCACTGCGTCCGCCTGAGGCAGGTCAGGGAAGGGACGCGAGGTGGCGCTGTCACCGGATTCTGTGAGCGGCAGCGCTCTGGGCTCCGCTGGTCTTGTATCGTTTCGGTGACCTTCGCTCCAGTCTGTGACTGGGCCACACTCTGGGTGTAAATTACGATCCTCACTGAAGGGGTGGGACCCTGAGAGGCTTTTTCCTGGCCCCTTAGTTGTGGGTTTTCCTGCGGGCGGTGGAGCCCGTTTCCATCAGAACCGCCCAGAGGCGGGCGCTGCCTTCCAGGGGTGGCGGAGCAGCAGGAAGCGTTTTCGGATCCTGGAATCCGTGGGCGGCCCGTGGGAGGGACTGAGGCGCATTTCCCTACTCACCCGGCCCCGAATCCACCGCGGTGCTGTTTCAAGAGAGTCAGATTCCAGATCGCGCTCCAGCCCGGACTCGGAATTCCTGCCCTGCGGGTCTGCATTTCACAGCGGCAGGTGTGAGTGACCCGCAGCTGGAGACCAGAAGCCTGAAGGCAGCTCGGCCCTCCCCAGCCCGCAGCGCCGTTATTCCGTTTCTGTATCAGTAAACACTTGTCATTTTTCCGTAGCCCGGGGCAGGGTGACGGGTGATCCCAGTCCTCGCAGTGAACTCCGGGCCGCAGACTTGAAAACGCGCGCGGGCTCCCACCGCAGCCCTGTCCTGAGTTACAGACGCGACCCGCGACCGCACTGGGCAGTTTCCCTTTCTTTTCCGGACTCAGCAGTGGCGCCTAAAGTCTACGAGGAGAAAATCGCCTGTGTGCTGGTAAGTCCGGGGATCTCAGGCGAGTGCTGAGGGAGAAAACGTAGTTGATAGGCCTGGGAAGAAGCGGCTGGAGGTTGGGTAGAGGGGGAAGGCTTTGGACAGAAAAGAGCTGGGAGGTTTGGCTGGGGAGGGGCAGCCAGGCCTAGACCCTGGGGAGCGACTCACCGGAAGTCCAAGATCATCACGGCCTCTCCTATCCCATAAAGGGAGGGATTGGCTTCTTGTCTTGTCGCCATCACATCTAAATGCGTTGAAACAAGCTTTACATATTATTATTATCATCATCGTCATTGAAGTACTAAAAGTCTTTTTGGGGGTGAGCTAAATGAGACCCTTTGCTGAGCGCAGGGAGAAAAAGTCCTTGAGAGAGGGTAGACACTGTGGAGGGAAGGGCTTGGGACCAGTGTCAGGAGAGCTGGGTCCATCTCCCTCTCTTTCCCTCACTACCCTTGTGACCTTTAGCAGTGTAAATTATCCCTCTAAGGTGGGGACAGGACCCCAATCCCTGCTGTGCTCAATAAATTATGATGGTCAAAATAAATAATCAGTGAATATGGATGGAAAAACTAAGTAATTGTTAAAACTCTGTGATGTATGACATTTTCATCTACAGAAAAGTGTAGGCTAGGGGTCTTGGAGAATGGTTAGTAATCATACATAGAGTTCCATTTAAAAAATACGTTTGTAAGACTGACGAAGATGGAATGACACAGTTCCTGATCACAGATGGTTCATTGTCTAATGGAGGATGGCACCAGATGGTAAATGATAGCTGGGCGTGGTGGCACTCGCCTGTAGTCCCAACTACTCAGGAGGCTGAGGCGGCAGGATTGCTCCAGCCCAGGCATTCGAGGCTGATGTGAGCTGTCATCACGCCACTGCACTCCAACTGGGTGACAGAGTGAGATCCCCCAGCCCATTCTAAAAGGAAAAAAAGAGAAAACAAAAACAAAGATAATAGATGAGGTTGAAGGCAGGCTGAGTTGGTATCAAACCGTGGGCTAGAATAGTGGTTCTAAAACTCGACTACACATTGGAACCAGCCGGGGAACTTTAAAAGATACTAAGGCTTAGACGTAACCTAGGCTTTGTGAGTCCATTGGTTTTGACTGTGGCCTGGGACCGTGGATATTAAAAACTCTTCAGGTGGTTCTAGGAAGATAGGTTTGAGGACTCCTGAACACTAAGAAATGTGTATTGGAGAGGAGGCAGTTCTCTCAATCGAAAGAGGCTTTCTGGATGGCGTTATTATTATTGAGGTATAATTCATGTGCCTCATAATTTACCTTTTTCAAGTATACAGTTCAGTGGCTTTTAGCATAATCACGAGGTTGTACTACAGTCGCCATTATCTAATTGGAAAAAAGGTTTTTCTTTTTCTTTTTCTTTTCTTTTCTTTTCTTTTTTTTTTTTAGCAGTGGGAGTGGAGAAAGAACAAAGAAATCTGTAATTGGTCGTGAACTTTCTATTCGGCGTGTGGCCCCGCCCTACCCACTTATGATTGGTCCTCATCTCCAGGTGTTCATTTTCATTGGGTGAGCAGTCGCTGGGGTGGGGCTAGGTGACTGATGAAATTTCGGCGGGGCCTTCTCCACAGCCAGGCTGAGTTCCCGCTTCTTGAGCCGTTGTTAGGTTGGCAAAATTGAGGCCACGGAGATGGGACCCGTCCTGCTATTCCTGACAACACAGTGCCGGCACTGTAAGAACAGCTGAGCAGCCGCCACAGTTCCCACCCAGCCCCGCAGCCCTCCTTTTTATTATTTGCTGACCCCGTAGTCATTTGTGTTTAGGATCCTAGTTCTGATTTTCCTTATGTAGCCCGCCAGGCCCTCTGCAGCCTTACTGAGAGCTAGATTCTAAGAGTGACGTCATTTCCATTTTAAAATTCCTAACCTCAGTACTTGTTAAAGGCGTACTCACAAATTCAATTTTTCCCTGTCCCATAGGGACTTTAATGAGAGAATACATGTTAGACACCTGCTGTTTAGAAGGAATAGGGAAATTCTTAATGTCCTTTTTACATTGTTCTAGTTCTTTCCTTAAATTTGGACGAAGATTTAAGGGTTTAGCTCCCTCATGACCCCCAGATTCCTTTTCCTCCAACCTTCCTGTTGCCCCCCTGATCTCCCTGTCCTCTACTTTGTGAGATGTATGGCGTGAGGGCAAGTGTGTTAGGGGATCCCAGGGCTTTTCATTGGGTGAGGGCTCTTTACTATGTTCTTTTTATTTCTCTTTAAGGGGAAACATGGGGTTAATTCACTAATCCAACAAACCCATCACCTCTTGTGAGGATGGGGATTTATTATTCACATAAAGAATTAAAGCTTGGCATACACAGTCCTTATTTGAGCTAAACTTAGGCCAAAAGACCAAAGGCTAATGAATGGGCTCTTTAGACTGGAGAAAACAGCAATACTTATTTTTTGTTTTTCCTTATTCCTGGTTCGGGGGTTATTCCGCCAAGCCTGTAACATCCTCCCCAGTGGACTATCTGGGGGTATGCTGGAGGGGGCCTCCTTGGCTTCCTCCTTCCTTTGTTCCCTAGTCCTAGCTTGCTTCCCATTTTCGGTTGCTCCCTGAGTCTGAGTTTCCCTGTGTACTCAACGCCCCTTACTGGAGGTCTCTTCACAACCCGCAAGTCAACTGCTTTGTAACTGCTTTGTCCATCTCTGGCCATTTCCTTCCTGGGAGAACAGAACCATGGATTGGGTCTCCGCACTCGCTTCATATCTAGGATATGTCTCAGTCACACACACTTGACCTCCGAAAATGCCCAACCACCAAGGCAGTGCTCATAGTCCAGTCTTCCTACCTGGGCTTGTGCACAAGTTTGCCTGGTTGCCGCGGTGCCTGCTTTTCTGTTTCCCTGTGTCACTTTCGTTGTCTTCTGAATAACAGTTTCAAGTTTGTCTGTGGCTTCTGTGTGGAACCTGGACATCTGGACAGAATGGGCCCCATGAATCCAGTGGTACGCTTTTCCTCTTTCCGCCAAAGTCTCACTTCATGCAAGCTCAGTGATCCCCATACAGGCCACTAGATTGTAGGAAACAAACTCGCCCATCCAAACCCAAAGAATTGTCTCTCTCAGAGAACAGTGAAAGTGAGACTTTTAGCAACAGTTTTGCAATATCGGGTGTCTGGAATGCAGGCGCACCAGGGACGGTTTCAACAAAAAATTTATTCCCTAGTGCCCACGTCCCTCCCCCATTTCCTCATTAGCTGAGTACTGTGGGGTTACAGTCTTTCTGGATGTTGCCTATTGTAGTTTGATTAAAGCTTCCAGTATGTTCTTTACAGTCTTTTTGCTGCATTTTGTTACAGCCCATAATGCATTGTGATTGTCTCAGGACTCCTCAAACATTTAATTTATGGCCCTAATGGCTGCATTTAGGTGATAAGAAAGGGTACAATTATCTACATTGCAAGCTAGCCTAAACTAAATTATTTGGTGAGGTGGGGAGGGGGTCGTCGAGGGGGCCCCAACTGATCGGCACCTAGCCGGTGCATGAAAAGGAAAGCAGGAAGGAGCTGGGGGATGGCTTAGTACATTTTGCTTTTTTATCTCTGTGTGTCCATGTGTCTCTTTATGTCCATGTTAAACCTATACTGAGAAACATAGAATTGAAAATGAACCATCATATGTAGCTTATTTTTGACGCCCTTAAGTTCTGCCCAAGCTAAGGCTGGGCCAAGGCCCTCCAACGTCCAGCTGTGGCCTCCTCCTGCTGAAGGTGAGGACTGGGCAGCAGGGAGGGCCATGGCACCTGCTCTGTCCCCATTCCAGTCTATCTCTCAGTCTTACCAGGTTGCATCTAGGTGGGTGAGTTGGGAATTGCATGCTGATTGCTGAGTGCCTGAATGATCATGGACTCAGAGGGAGCCAATAGTAAAGGCAGATGTGATCTGGTGAGAGGTTAGAAATTAGAAAGGAATTTGAGGAGAGGCAGAGCCTCTAGTCCCTTCCTCTCTGCATCACTCTCCCCTGTTTCTCCAGCCATCAGAAGGACGCCAAGAAAAAGACCCACGAGGCTGACTGAGGGCCCCTGCATGCGCAGTTCCCTTTGTGGCCTCCCTTGTACCAGGGAGGGTCCTGAGTGCACACGGCCATCCTCCTCCACCTTGCAGCTGCCCATGTGCCTCATCCGGGAGCTCTCTCTCGGGGGTGTTGTGTCCTCCTTGTCTCTCAAGGCTGTGCTTTTTCCAGGTTCCCACCATGTGGGCCCTGCCGCCCTGTGTTTCCTTGTGGATGATATGCCTGAGTAGATAAGCAGATGTCCCTGGGCCATTTGGGGAGTGGGGACCAGCACCCTGCCAGGGCAGCTGGTTCCCTGTTTTCATCCTATGTCCAGGTATTACTTTTTCCAGCCCCCGAGTCATAGTCCCCAGGGGCTGTGTTTCTGGGGCTTTGTTCTGTGCTTTGTGGCCTCACCTTGCCTTTCCTGGGCCAATATTTTTCTTCTTAACATAGTCATTGCCTGGCAAGTTTAAAATAAGAGACAGTCAGAATTGTTTTCCCCACAGTCAAGCTGTCCGAGGGGAGAGGAGAAAGGAGAAAGTTTTGTTTTTGTAAAGACAGAGGCAGTGCAGGGGACAGTGAGAGGCTGGGGTGTCCAGGAAACCCAAGTCTTTCTGCCATTTCCCCACTTCTGTGTGTCTGGCCAGTGGAGTGGTGGTGACTCATCCTTGAACCTAATTGCACTGTTAGTCAGCCCCGCAGGCCTCACCAGATGGGATGGTTCATCCCCTGCCCTGCAGCAAGAGGGCCCCGTCCAGGAGGCACCCACAGCAGCGGCAGCGCAGGTCTGTGGTCCCTCCTGCTCTCACCTGTGGTGTCTCCCGTAGAGCGACTGTCAATTCTGCTTCCCTGTAGGCAGGAATGGTTTCCTTACAGGTCACTGGAATATTGGCCAGAAAAAGGATATGAAAATCATGTTAATTTCTCAAAATTCCTGCTTTAAATGTTGATGTCCATCAACATAATTTCAGCTGGATAATCTTAATAGGATGTCCTCCAATACTGATGCTGTAAAGCATGTTGAATGGAACAGGAACTCAAATTTGGAGCTTCCTTTCTCGGAGGGTCCATGTGGGAGATTGTGGCTGTGGCAGTGGCAATAACCAGGTGCAGAGGGTGGAGGCAGCCTCAGGATGAGGCGTCTGAAGAAACCCTCTGCTCCCCAAGGAGAAGGAGAAGATCCCCTGTGAGCTGCAATGGCAGTGGCCTGGGCGGAGTCCCTGCTAGGAACATGGCAGGAAGGCTGTGCAACCTCACGAAGCAGCAGTTCTGGGATGGAGCTGCATTTCCAGGGATGAGTGCACCAGGCTGGGGCAATCACAGCCCAAGTGTAGGTTATGGGGAGGGGAGGGCTCCTTGAGCAAGGGGGTCCCCAGCATCAGGTCAGGTGCAGACTCCATCCAGCCATGTATTTCCTTGCTGGGCCTGTGAGCCCCAGGGCTTCCTGATGGGATCTCCAGTTAGAAGCTGCCTGCTCAGAGCTGGGAGGGGAGGAATGCTGAGCTGCCAGTGGAGAAAAGAACCCACAGTGTGCAGGGTCTGCCCTGGTGTGCAGGTGCCTCCGCAGATGAGGAGGGCCTGGGGACTGAGTGGGGAGAAGGACTGTGTATGTGACCCAACCCAGGACTGGAGGGACATGGAGACAGGGCCAGGGGCTCTCTTTGGGGAGGCCTCCCACTGTGTCAGGGCTGGTCAGGCGTGAGAGGAGGGGGCGGGCACTGAGTTTCCTCCTGGGTCTTGTTCCTTCATCCTGGGGTCCTTTCACTCCCTGCGCGATGGATGCTGGGCACAGGGCAGGTGCTGATGCTGATGGAGTCACGGGAGGGGGACTGGCAGGGGCTGGAGAAAGTGCCATGGGAGGGAGAAAAAAGTGGGGACGTCATCTTCCCTCAGAGAAAGGGTGAATCTGATTTTGGAGTGACTGAGGAGGGAGAAGTCGTTAGGGAATAAAAGCAGCACCCTGCACCCAGTGGAACATTTACTGTTTTTCTCTTTTCTCCAGAGCATGGGAACCTACAAGGCCCGGATCAACACCTGACTGGGACAGGAGACCACCAGGGCAGTGCACAGCTGGGATTTCAGTCTCCCGTGTCATCTCCTGGGTCCACTGGTGCCACTGAGGGCAGCTAGACTCTGCAGCCAGGCGGCCTGGATTCAACTCCCTGCCTGGGTCTCACCAGCACTTTCCCTCTTGGTGTCTCTGTTTCCTCATCTATGAAATGGGGAAATCAACAGCATTTATTTCTTGTGGTTGGATGAATGATAAGGGTTGGCATATATGAGGTGTTTGCAGCTGTGCCATATTATTTTTATTATTTTGTTATTTTATTATATTTTAATATATCACATGTGCAGTAACTGTATTATTATAGGTGAGCTTTATGAATGAGTGTCCTGGTGACGGTTCCTCCTGGGGAGCCCAGGACCAGGTTTCTTGGCACCTTGAGGTCCCCTCACCCCTGTTCTACTCTCCTGCATTACCCTATTCTATTCTGTCTTTGTCTTCACATTTTATACTATAGATATTTAGCTCTTAAATAGACATTTCTGGTCTGTGTTTTAATTCAAGCGTCTGGGAAGGGATAGAGTGTGAGGTTCAGGAGAGAAGGAGAGGTCTGTCTTGATGCCTTGACACAGCACAGAGAAATCCCCCCTCCTCCTCCACATCTCCCCACCAGTTCTCAGTGAGGTACAGATTCACAGCAACACTGAAAGGGCTGGGAAGAGATCGGGGACATCTGGGGCCAATGTTCAGGGGTTGACCCTGTGGGGGACACCGGCCTGCAGAGTTAGAGCCCACATGTGATGATGTAGAGCTGAAGGGTGATATCAGGGAGGGGACGGAGAGTGCTTTGGCCTTTCCTGATTATGAAGAGTAGAGGTCAGTGCTTCTGGGGTGAAGTGACTGCTGGGGAGATTGGATTGAATTAATGAAGAATAAATGAACAAAGAATGAGGATGAGTAAAGCAAGCATCAGTATCTCCTGCCATTAGTTCAGACTGATTGGGAAAGTGGGATAGTTACTGACCCTGTTGCGTGATTCCTCCTAACTTCCTGGTCTTGGGGGCACAGGCGGGTGGTGCTGTTCTTGGTCAGGGCGGCCTCAGCTCCACCAAGGTAAAGCAGTGGTGGCAGAGAGAGTTAGGGGAGCACCTGTGAAAGTGACCAAGGCAGGGATGGGAGCCCCCTGTGCAGCAGTAGCAGATGAAGGACCTACCTGGATGCAAGAAAAGGATGAGGAACCCTAGCTGGGTCCTGTTCCCTGCCTGCCTGTGCTCACAGGGTAATCAGCAAGGGAGCTGGGGTAGGGAATTCGTTCATAAGCTATCTATCCAGAGATGTGTTTATAGACATATTCTTTCATGTTTGTATTCAAGTTTGTTGTCACAGGCACATTTATCCATGTATGTTTTATGTTTAAGTTACTTTAGAATGGCTCAGTCACAAAATCTTAATCTCTTCATTTGTGATACCTCTCTCTCCACACACACACACATTCACACACATGCTATACAAACCTATCTACCTATATCTGTAAAGAGATATGTTATTTTATTGTTTATTTTGTAAATTCATATACATTCAGGGGGCACCAGCGCAATTTCGCTACATTGCTATATTGAGTTGTGGTAAAGTCAGGGCCTTCAGTGCATCCGTCACTGGAGCCGGCCACATTGTATCCACCAAGAAACCCCTCTCATAATACACCCCCTGCCAACCACCCTTACCCTTCTGGGTCTCCGTTGTCCATCATTCCACATGCTACTTTCATGTATATAAAGAGATATTAAGTAAATACGGCAGAGTGGTAACTTGAATTTTACTGCACTATTCTTTCAGATTCTTTGCACATTTGAAAATTTATACAATTATAAGTTGGAGGAATGAGGGAAAACAGAGAGAGAGAGAGAGTGCTGAGTCAGAATAGGTTAGGGGTTGCGTCCCACTAGGAACCATAATTGATCTTTGCCATTTTGAAAGTGTGCCCCCCTCCGAGCTGCCTTCAGAGAGTCCTGGAGGGAAACCTGCTTTCACAGAAATACCAAGATGCCATCTGCCTGTTTCATTATGTTGACTTTTCCATTAATGCTGCAAATGCCATGGTGGGTAACACACCTAGCACCTTAGCAGAACCAGGCAGTATCACCAAAGCACAGTCCCACTTCAGATTATCTTTGATGGAGCAGTAAAAATTTATGTTTATTAGATTTTGATCCCTCAGTACATGTCTTTAATATTATTTGTGAGAAAGTGGGAAATATGCATAAAACACTTATCGTAGAGAGAAGCAGGATGGTAGCCTTGAGGAAGGGCACTTGTGTAGACTTAGTTATGAGTTCAACCAGCAGATCTCCTTCACCCACTGAAAGACAATTTCATTATTTCCAGTTTGAAGGTGTTATGGATAAAGCTGCAAGAGTATTTGTGTACAGGTGTTTTGTGAACGTAAAGTTTTCCCTTGTTTGAAATAAGTGCCTAGGAGGTCAATTGCTAGTCATATGGTAAATTGCATGTTAAGTTTGAAGAAAACTGCAATACCCATTTCCAGAGTGACTGTACCATTTTAAAATCCTTCCTACCGGCAATATAAGAGTGACCCAGTTTCTCTGCATCCTTGCCAGCATCTGTTGCTACCTTTATTTTGTATTTCAGCCATTCTCATGATTGTGGTTTTAATTTGTATTTTTCCTACTGGATAATCATGTTGAGTGTCTTCATTTGCTTGTTAGCCCAGTGTTTATCCTCTTCAGAGAAATGTCTGTTCATGTCTTGCTCATTGCCTGTTTTGTAATTGGATTTCATTTTTTACTGTTGTTTTTACATTTCTTCATATATTCTGAATACAGTCTTTACAGAATATGTTGTCTGTAAATATCTTCTCTCGTTCTGTAGCTTGTCTTTTTAGCTCTTCACAGGTCCCTCACAGAGCAACAGTTTTTAATGTTGATGAGATCCAATTTGTTAACTTTTTCTTTTATGGATCATACTTTTGGTGTTATGTCTAAGAACCCTTTGTCCAGTCTTAGTTCTGATGACTTTTTCTTCAAAGGTTGTAATTTGAAATTTTTAATTTATTTATTATTTATTTTAGAAAAAAAAAATTTGGCCTAGGCTGTCCTTGAACTCCTGGGCTCAAGGGATCCTCCCACCTCAGCCTCCCGAGTAGCTGAGAGTACAGGTCTGTGACACCATGCCTGGCTCAATGTTTGCCATTTTAACTCTGTGTCTTGCATTAAAGCTTGTGATTCATTTTGAGTTATTTTTTGTATAAAGTGTGAGATTTGGGCTCAGCTGTCCAGTTGCTCAGCACTGTTTGTTGGGCAAGCTCTCCTTCCCTCATTGAATTGCTTTTGTTCTTTTGTAAGTCAGTTGAGCATATTTATATGTTTTGCCCACTTTCAGTTGAGTTGCTTCTCTTCTTACATTAAGTTTAAGAACTTGTCACATATTCTGGATACATGTTCTTCATCACAAATGTAATTTGTGATAAATTGTGAAATATTTACTCCCAGTCTATGGCTTGTCTTCTCATTTTCTCAATGATGTCTTTTGGAGCACTCAAGTTTTAAATTCTAACTAAGCCCAATCTCTCCCTCTCTGTCTCTCTCTCTCTCTCTTTCACTTGTAGATCATGCTTTTGGTATTTTTATCTAAGAATCTTTTGCCTAACTACCCAAAGTCACAAAAATTTCCTTCTATATTTTCGTTTAGAAATTTTATAGTTTTAACTCATAAATTTTAGCTCTATAGGTCTCTAATTTGTTTGAGCTGATATTTTATGTGGTGTTAAGTGTCACATTGCATTACCTATGCAACTTCATTGAAAATCAATTGACAAAAAAAAATGTAAGAATGTCTTTCTAGATTTTCACTTCTGTTCATTTCTGTTCATTGATCTCTATGTCTCTCAGTTTCATACTGTCTGGATTTTTATAGTTTTACATGACATTCCGTTTTTTGGGTTTTTTTTTTCAAATTTGTGTTGGCTCTTCTGCATCCTCTGCATTTTCATATACATTTTTAGGCTTATTTTCTCAATTTTCTATAAAATGCCTGCTGGGATTTTGACAGCAATTGTGTTGAACCTATAGATCTATTAGGGGAGAATTGCCATCTTAACAATATTATGGAGCATTCCAACTCGCACCTCTCCATTTATTTAGACCTTTAATTTCTCTTAGTAATGTTTTTTATTTTTAGTGAACAAACACTGCTCTCTTCCTAAATTTATTCCTATTTCACACTTTTTGAAACTACTGGGATAGGAAAGTTGAGATTTTCATTGCTTGTATAGATAAATACATTAATAATTAATTTTTATATTGATTTTATATACTATGGGCCCTTCTGGATTCATTTCTTAGTGCTAGCAGGCTTTTATCTGCTTATGAATTCTACAGACAAGGTCAGGTTATCTGCGAATAGAGTTTTGTGTTTTCCTTTTTATCTGGATGCCTTTAGTTTTTAATTTTCTGCCTTAGTGCACTGGCTACTATCTCTAGTACAATGTTAAGTGGAAGTGGAAGTATAATGTTAAGTGGAAGACTGGACATCCTTGCATTGATCCCCATCTTAGGAGAAAAGCATTCAGTCTTTCTTCATTAAGCATGATTTTAGCTGTGAGTGTTTTATAGATGCCCTTTATCAGAGTGAGACAGGTCCCCTCCATTCCTGTTTTGTTGAAACTTATGAACATGAGTTGTGTTAACATACCTGTCAACTGTTTCTTCTGCATCTTTTGGGATAATTATGTCTTTTACTTCATTAATACAGTGCTTTCCATTCATTGATTTCAAATATTAATCCAACCTTATTTTCCTGGGATGAATCTCATTGGTCATGGAGTATAATCCTTTTTTCTGTGGCATTTTATTGTCTGCCAATGTTTGTTGAGGACATTTTCATTTGTGTTTATTGCTGATACTGGTCTCTGGTATTCTTTTCTTGTGAGTCTTGCTCTGACTTTGATATGAGGGTAATGCCAGTTCTGTAAATGCACTGGATTTATCTTCCCTCCTCTCTTCTTGTCTGACAGAGCTTTTGAAACATTTGATAGAATTCACCAGGGAAGATATTTGGGTTTTGGCATTTCCTTGTGAGAAGGTTTTTAAATTACTGACTTAGTGTACAGTTCTATTCAGATTTTGTCTTTGTTTTTGACGCAGTTTTGGCAATTTCTTTTTATTTTATTTTTTATTTTATTATTATTATTTTTTTGAGACAGGGTCTCACCTGTCACCCAGCCTGGAGTGCAGTGGCATGATCTCAGCTCACTGCAAGCTCTGCCTCCTGGGCTCAGCCATTCTCCTGACTCAGCCTCCCAAGTAGCTGGGACTACAGGTGCCCGCCACCAGGTCCAGCTAGTTTTTTTTGTATTTTTAGCAGAGACAGGGGTGTCACCATGTTAGCCAGGTTGGTCTCGATCTTCTGACCTCGTGATCCACCTGCCTCGGCCTCCCAAAGTGCTGGGATTACAGGCGTGAGCCACCGCACTCAGCCAGTTTTGGCAATTTCTATCTTTGATGAATCTGTCCATTCTATCTAAATGGTCTAACTTGTTGGCTCCAGATTTTTCAGACTATTCACTTATAATGCTTTTTAACTTCCTAAGGGTCATTAGTGATAATCTCTCTTTTGTTCACAATTTTGGTAATTTATCTCATTTCTCATAATCTCTGTTTTGACTGTTGGTCAAGAAAACAGACAGAGGCAGCAGATGGCTCGGTGACAGATTCTCTAGTGGGAAGGCTTTGATCATGTATAGCTGGCAAGCCAGACTGATGCCAGCAACCCCAAAGGAGCTGCCAATGGATCTTGACAGGAAAGTCACTGACTCTGGATTGGGCTATGCTCAATCAGGGGTAGATGTCAATTCTTCAAGGGCTGTAAAAGAACAAGAAAAGAAGAGATTGCACCAATTTGGACTGCCATATCGCATTTCTTTACACAAGAAAACACACTTACAGCCTCAAACAGCCAACAATGCACAGGGAGATGCCCTCCTCAGGAGAAAACTTTGATAGAAAATTGAAATGGTCAATTGAAACATTGATTATCTAAAAACTGCCAATATAATTGTTGGGCAATATAAACATGAAGGACTGGCTTTTATATCTCCATGAATGTGCTCACTGTCAACATGGGTGGGGCTGCAAGTGTGACTCCAGTAGGTAGCTTCCTCTCTTTGTCCTGATGGATCAGGACGATGCTGTTATGACTATACATACAATTCTTCCTAAGTGGAGAGGATGCTGGAGTAATGACTACACTTCACCTCAAATTTCTTTTTTCATATGTGATGTCATGGTACTAGGAATACGGATGTAAATAAAAGTGCCAGAAACAGGAATTATCCCTAAGCCAAAAACCATAACTTTATTTTTACACCTGTATATAAGAATCCCCAAGCAACTCAAGGATTATGCTATGCCTTCATTTCATCTGGCAAAGTCAGGATTAACAGTAAGTAGAGCTATGTAGCCTGGTGGTCCAATAGTCCCAACTAGTCCCTTCCCTATGTAACCTACCCTCTATGATCAAGAGTAGACTGAGGGAAGACATGCTAGAATACTATTGCTGCCTGCAGTCTAAACCAGCACAGCAGCCAAACCTAATGTCACTTCCAAAACCTGAAAAGATTGATATAAAGGGACAGAAAGAGGAATAGTGGCTGAGGGTAAGTGAATAAATCAAAGGGTTATGTAATGAGAAAAATTCAATATTAGCTTAACTCCTCAAAAGTAGTGTGAGCAAGAGAAGATATTATCTCTTCGTTCAATTATACTGGATGCCTAAAAGGGTGAAGCCGTATGTCCCTGAGACCATTCCTGTTTTTGGAACCCGGTAAGATTGAGTGGTGTCTGCAAAGCTGAATGACTTCATTCTGGGAGACATATTCATACAAGAGGATGATAAACTGACCTAGTTATAAATGACTGAATGAAACTCTGATAATATGTCAATACATCTTTACTGTTATAATCTTTTTCCTATAAAAGATATGTGGTCAAAGAAAAACATGTAGTCTTTGTCCCTGGTTTCTCCTAAAAACCTTAGACTCTTGAGTGATAAGAGTGTCTTTAGAATACTGATGAGAGGGCTCTTGGCTGAGCAGATCCTATTACCTTGAGAATGGGGGCTGCCTGCCAGAGACACATACCTGTGGTGAGAACGTTGTCTTATTTAATATTGTATTGCTATAAAGAAATGTCTGAGACTAATTTATATAAACAAAGTTCATGTGGCTCATTATTCTGATGTCTGGAAATGTTTGAGCATTTAGTGAGGGCCTCAGGCTGCTTCCACTCATGGCAGAAGGCAAAGGGGAGCTGCTATGTGCAGAGATCACATGGTAACAGAGGAACAGAGAGAGCAGGAAGTTGCCAGGCTCTTTTTAACAACTAGCTCTCTTGGAAAACAATAGAGCAAAAATTCATTCACTCTAGAGAGAGGGCAGTATCTCTCTATTCATAAAAGATTGGTCCCCATTACCCAAACGGCACCAATTAGGCCCCACATCCCACAGTGGGCGTCAGATTTTAACATGAGGTATCAAGGGATAAATACTTATATCATTGCATCCTGTCACTAGCCAGCCAAAGCTCATGTTCTTCTCACACTGCAAAACACAATAATCTCCCAGTTGTCCCAAATTATTTTAGGTTGTTCCAGCATCAACTCAAAATTCCAGAGTCTCATCTGAGACGCAAGGTAAGTTCTCAAAGCTATAAGCTTTGAAATTTCTTTCATCAGATACCCTTAATCATCACTCTCAGGTTCAACGTTCCACAGATCCCTAGGGAGGGGGCACAATGCTTCCAAGTCCTTTGCCAATGCATAACAAAAGTGACCTTTCCTGTAGGTCCCAATAAGTTCCTCATCTCCATCTGAGACCTCATCAGCCTGGACTCTATTGTCCATATCACTATCAGCATTTTGGTAATAACAACTTAACAAATCTCTAGGAAGTTCCAAATTTTCCCTCATTTTCTTGTCTTCTAAACTCTCCAAAGTCTTCCAACCTCTACCTGTTACCCAGTTCCAAAACCATTTCCACATTTTCAGCTACCTTTATAGCAATACCCAACTTCTGGTGCCAATTTTCTGAATTAGTTGATTGTCACACTGTTATAAATAAATACCTGAGCGGGGAGGTTCCAAGATGGTCGAATAGGAACAGCGCCAGTCAACAGCTCCCAGCGTGAGTAACGCAGAAGACAGGTGATCTCTGCGTTTCCAACTGAGGTACCGGGTTCATCTCACTGGTGCTTGTTGGACAGTGGGTGCAGCCCACAGAGCAAGGTGGGGCATCGCCTCACCTGGGAAGTGCAGGGGGTCGGTGAATTCCCTTTCCTAGCCAAGGGAATCCATGACAGATGGTATCTGGAACAACAGGACACTCCCACCATAATTCTGTGCTTTTCAAATGGTCTTAGCAAATAGCACACCAGGAGATTATATCCTGCACCTGGCTCAGAGGGTCCCACGCCCACAGAGCCTCACTCATCCAGGAGAAATTCTCCAACCTAGCAAGGCAGGCCAACAATCAAATTCAGGAAATACAGAAAACACCACAAAGATACTCCATGAGAAGAGCAACTCCAAGACACATAATTGTCAGATTCACCAAAGCTGAAATGAAGGAAAAAATGTTAAGGGCAGCCAGAGAGAAAGGTCGGGTTACCCACAAAGGGAAGTCCATCAGACTAACAGCAGATCTCTTGGCAGAAACTCTACAAGCCAGAAGAGATTGGGGGCCAATATTCAACATTCTAAAAGAAAAGATTTTTCAACTCAGAATTCCATATCCACCCAAACTAAGCTTCATAAGTGAAGGATAAATAAAATCCTTTACCAACAAGCAAATGCCGAGAGATTTTATCACCACCAGACCTGCCTTACAAGAGCTCCTGAAGGAAGCACAAAACATGGAAAGGAACAACCGGTACCAGCTACTGCAAAAACATGCCAAATTGTAAAGACCATTGATGTAGGAAGAAACTGCATCAACTAATGAGCAAAATAACCAGCTAACATCGTAATAAC